TGTGTGTTAGAATGAATGTCTGACCATGTGGTTCCTTATGTGTCTGTTTATGTGTTTCTGTTTTCACATGTGTACTTATCGACTTATGTGTGGATTTTATTTAAACTGTGAAGCACTTTAAAAAGTGCTACACAAATAAAGTTATTATCATCATTTCATCATGTAAGATAAAAGCTGATCACTCAAAACCCATCTGAAGGTGGAACAGCACCCTGCAAAGATCCCCAAAGTAAAACCAAGTAATATGAAACCCTCACTGTACGGACTCAAAGGCTGTCATTTAAACTGTGTTTCTTCAGCATGCATGTGCCACATGTCAGCATAAGATTGATGGCTAGGAGCACCCTAACTCCTGGACAGATGAAAAACTGAGATAGACTAGGAATTCATGACTATAACTTTAGGAATGAGATAGGCAGACTCGACCTTTAACATTCTTTTATTTCTGGCCTTTGACCCCACCCGTTTGAGTAAAAGGTCATCTCACCTTGTCCACTGATAAAAGTATTGCGGAGTGTAAGTCAGATCAACTCACCTATGCAGCAAACCAGCAATAAATGTAATACATTTAATTAAAATTGACTTTAAAACAAACAATGACAATATATTAATATAAGAAACTACTGAGAACTATTTATCGGCAATTTCTGCTTAAACTTTATTTTTGGTATCAACACAAGACAATGAGGACCTTGTTTTGTTTTCTAAACACTGCCCTTCAGTCTTCAAGGTCAGTGAGTTTCTTCAGATCAGATTTCAACTGCTCTTCATCCTCCACCTCCTCTACCTCCACTTCTATCCCATCCATAGTTTTCTGAAGCTGTTCCTTGATTCTGTTCAGCTCCAGCAGGCCATTCTGTAGGTCCTTGCAAACTTCTCGGATCTTGACAGCGAACTCTGTTTTTGCCCCCTTTTTCAGTTCCATGGAGTCCTTTGCCAGGAAAAACACATCAAGAGCCAGGAAGAGGCCTGACATTACTCCGGTAGTGACACTCATCACCTGGGCAGCTTTGGCAGCACCACCAGCAACATTCAGGACTTGAACAGTATTGATCAGACTGTCTGTGTTGACCACCAGAGCTTTGCCGGCTCGACCACCCTCTTTGATTACATGCTTGACGTCCTGGTTTAAGTGGTTTTTTGCGATGCTCTCTGCATACTTCTCAAAGTCCCACTGCTGGAGTGTCTCCATCCCTTCCTGTCAGGTATACGTGAGATGAAAATTTTAGATTAGCAGCTGTAGCCATACCAACACTAGAATTTATTTCTAAATGTAGATTAGCTGAGTGACTTTTTTTGTCCTTGAAACTGATTGTACTGAGATGCACTTTTAAAAAAACTATTTTCTGATTTCTGAGAGAGAAAAAGATGCAAGGTTACGTCACATGATTAATATAGTACTGTAGGTATGTTTTTTCTAAAGGCCTTCCACAACTCTTCTGTCACATTCTTGTCTCCCTAAAAACACTTCCTCATTGTTTTGTCAGCATTTTTTTTTTCAGTTTCATTGTGTTTTATTTAACACACAGTCAACTGACAGTCAGGTACGATGGAAAAATGAAAATAATGCTGCATGACAGCATCTCATTGACAGAATGATTGTTTATGTGTTTCTTGTTTCTTTCTCGAGAATTCACTCCGGTAAATGGTTATCATGAAAGTTCAATTCAAACTATGCATCAACAGGAACAAGGCAGCTGATCTGTCAATGCTTCTGTAAACACTGTAGTTGATGTGGTTTAACCACAGTGCTAAATGATGCTTCAACGACCTCGAGCCAAACATTCAGATTAACAGATTTTTCTTTATATGTTGAGTAAATGGAAGCCTTTCAAACGTGGCAAACTGAAAGTATTCAATGCACTCCTATGCCCCATGACAAATTCTTGAGCTAAGAAATAAATTATATGTTGCCAGCTCTTCACCAACCTCTTACAGGTTTTACATAAAGGACTAACAACCCCAGTGTCAGGGGTTGCTGAGTGGATGTGGAGAAAAGGACTCAAACGCAGGACTCACGGTGAAGATGCAGGGTGTTTATTGTGAGGGACGAATGACGAAAACAGGAGATGGCTGACTGACTGAATAACTGAATGAACGGCTGACTGATCTGAACTTGGAAGGCAAACATGGGGCATAGACAGCAGTAACAA